TTAATTGTATATTTTCCTGATTCAGAAAGATGATTTAAAATGATTACCTCCATGTTAAATGTATATCTTCATAATGTATATGTAAATGTATATCTATATATAATACTCAAATCAGATGCTTTTAAATCATTTCAAATTAAATTTCTTAATCAGGGTTTTGTCACTTTATTAAAAATCCAAAAATACTTAATCTTATTTCAAGAGTAAAAACAGATTTAACTAAAACAATAATAAAAATAAAAATATTCATACCTTGAATTTGAAGCACCTGACTCAAGATCTTCAGCTTGACTGCTACACTCTAATTTATCACCATGCTTATGTTTTAAGTGATACCTTAAAGCAGATGTAGTTTTTTTCGTATTGTAACGAACTGGACAGTATTTACATTCAGCTTCGTTACCGTTAATTGAAGTAAAATGTCTCCAAATAGATGACATTATAAATAATTTTATTTATTTAAATTTACAAGAATCACGATCAACTGTCTCCAACAATTTGAATCGTAAGTTAATCAAAATGCGACAGTTGCACCTTCTGTCATCTGCGGCAAGTTTTCGAACTAATAAAACGGCGCGGAGTTCAAAATAAATTGATCAATCAGACTAATTGAATAATAACAAATCATTTCTTTTTAATGTTTAAAAATGATCTCTAATAAATTATTTATTTACTATTAACAAATGTTTTGTAAATTAATCATTCTGGGTAACAATTTTCAATATATTAGTAAGAAAATTTGATTTTTTTTTTTAACCGATTAACCGTTTAACCGGTTAATCAGTTAACCGTTTAATTAATTTAACCGGTTAACTAATTAATTAATTTAACCGATTAGTTTAAGTTAATTAGTTGGCTGCTGAACTAATTAACCTGGTTAAATTTTATGGCCGGTTTAAACGGCCAAATTGTACAGCACTAATTTATTTACTATTAACAAATGTTTTGTAAATTAATCATTCTGGGTAACAATTTTCAATATATTAGTGAGAAAATTTGATTTTTTTTTTAACCGATTAACCGTTTAACCGGTTAATCAGTTAACCGTTTAATTAATTTGACCGGTTAACTAGTTAATTAATTTAACCGGTTAGTTTAAGTTAATTAGTTGGCTGCTGAACTAATTAACCTGTTTAAATTTTATGGCCGGTTTAAATGGCCAAATTGTACAGCACTAATAAAAAATGGGTAAATGTTGTGTTCCTTTTTGTAAACGAAAAGCAACTTTCACTTTTCCCAAAGATGAAAAACGTCGGGTCCTTTGGGAAAAAGCAATTAGTGTAAATTTTCGGTCTTCGAAGTCGTCGAGGTTATGTTCTAACCATTTCGAAAAAGATGTTATTGTTGAAAAAAATGAAAGTTATTATACAGGTAATTAAATTATTGAGTTATATTTTGTTATTTAATATTCGTATACAATAAATAAAATTTTATTTTATTTCAGGAATTATATCTTTTAAAAAAACTTTGAAACCCAATGCTGTACCCACACTGATGTTGGAGCTAGAAACCGAGAAATCTAAGCGTTCACAAAAAATACGAGAAACTCTTTTTGAAGAAAATTCTAATGATTCCAATTCATCACTATGTTTGTCTCTTTTAGATAACTCACCAGTTATTTATGGATGTTGTTCAACAGATAAGGAAACAAGTCAGATT